CAGAAATTCAGCACTTCAATAGCCGGATTCCTGCCAGCTTGAATGAGAACATCAGTCGCCCTCGGTCACTTGCATGAGGCAAGGCTTGCCATAACTCTTTCGGGTCAATGTGGGAAACCACAACTTCTTTTTTTCGAATTAGGTATTGTTTTCGTGACTACCAGTAAATCAGTGCAATGAAATGTATTCAGCCAATTTCATCTAAGGTGATGAAGGACTGGCAGAAGAATTTTCAGCTCAACTCATATCATTGTGGGAAAATTCTTCTTATACCAGTCCTTCATCAACTTACACAACTTCATCATCAACTTCAGAACTATATGCAACCTAGGACGACAATACCTTCAGGCAAAATTTCCAGATCGTTACGAAGGCTTAATCATTTCAATATTGCGGGCTTCTGGATGGATGGGGTGAAATAGGACTCGTAAACCTTTAAACAATACTCAGAACCAAGGAGACTAATTGGGTTGCCTCCTACATGTCGATGGCTCAATCCATACTCACTTATTTCCCATATGACATCCTTCCTCTTTTACATACATTCTCCGTATCACACTGATTTGACGATTCCATCTACCACACAACTTTCGAACTCAGCAGCAGAAGTGTCATAGTCAGCAAACAAATGTGTTTGATGCCATTCTCTATCCTGTCCAGTTTAGACTGTATTTTCATCCGAAGATATGAAGACCAAGACGTTGTGGCATCTGGTATGCATAGAAGTGGGTTGACCTGGTTGTCGCAACTTGGTCTTGTTGTCAGGGCGACTTGGTAGAACGGACCTAGTCCGAAGTTGTCATGACTCCCAACATCAGACAGTGGACAGCGTTCTACCAAGTCGCCCTGACAACAAGACCAAGTTGCGACAACCAGATCAACCCACTTCTATATTCTCATCCATTTATGACCATCGCAGGTATTCAACTATAATTGCTTTTTGTGTTCGTCTACCCTTTGCCTCATGGGCCGACAGGTCGCGCCAACATAAGCGCGATGGCGTGAACACACTCACTTGAGCTTAGAGATTCACACTTGTGCCAAACAAGGAGACCTACCGAAGAAAATGTTAGAGTTTCCTTTCAGTTGAAATGAAAGGAACGCTGACTTTAGTCCATTAAGGGATTCGTTGAAATTCAGCTTCAGTTCACTTGCTAATTTCATTTTTTATTTAATATTACTTTCCAGGTTGTTGATTAAACATTTTTTAATGTCAAAATTATGCCTATTCACCAAATATCAAAATGACCATCAATAGGCCTAACCTTTTCTATTGAACACTTTTTTATTTATTCATCTCCTTTCGTGTCGAAATGAGGACCGAACATTATCAAAATGCAATGGCGACTGTCAACAAAAACTACAGTCAAATTGAGATTAATAGCTCCAACACTGAGTTTATACTAAGACTTACCTCCTCAATAATCCCTTAGTGCCTCTTGTGAATAATTGCTAAAGATTGAATATCTCCCTAAACTGTAAAGTTGCCATGCATTGACATCACATCACATCACATCAAAACTCGCTATTACGTCCTCGCGGAAAATAATTTGCAGATCTACCGGTTGCACAATATTATGCGCATTTTCACACCCAATATCCAGCCATTCTCCTTAATCTCCAGCATATGAAAAGTGAAATCTAGTGCTTCATACTGCCTTTATTGTTGAACATATAACAAATTGGTACCCCATTCCTTACAATCATGCAAGTTTGCGAACCATTTTTTCTCTAGCTTCTCTTTAAAGAATAAATGCATTTTCACTTTTATGCTAACACTTTGCTTGCGCATACCTTAAGGACGTGCTTAAGCCTGGCTCTAAGCCCCTCAGTGGCAAACCTGACCAAAAGTTTACAAACAGAAGTGCCCTCCAATGGACCATTAACATTTCTCAGCTCTTATTTGTATTTAACAATTAGGATTTCAAGTGCCAAAGAACTCGATATGGTAATTATCCCGTTACTATGACGTATCCCTTATGATCTGGTAGTGTTGCTACGTCACAATTAAACTGTGCAAGAACTACTATTTTTGAATATAATCCAATTAATTCAAGTAGTATATAAAGTCCGGCGAGACAAATAATGAACTTTCCTTTGGCATGCCTGGTAGCATTTCGCTTATTCTTGATTGCTTTGTTTCATAAATTCTTTGAAATTGATTCTAATAACTTAATACCTTTTTTTCCTTTCCTAATTGCGCCTCGTTATTCCAGAATTTCTCTTCGTAACGCCACCAACTTTATGTTGTAAGTTAAGAAATTCGATCTGTTTGTATGCCTGAAAAAAGGTTGATCTAGCACCGTTTTGTCTCAAACCAAATGAT